CGCGAGTGGATCTGCCAGGATATGGTCGGGGTTCTTCGAGGGAGGTAGACATATCGGTTGAAGTTCAACGGTAAGTTTTTTGCATGATATTATGAATTTAGGAAGTGTCAAATTTCCAAATCTTGTGATCCTGCAGGCGGTATCTGTTTCGGGTTGGGTAAAACGCATATGATCGGAGATTTTTGCTTTAGCGGCTTCTAAATAACATCAGAAATGATAATATTTCTATGCAAATAAAAAAAACGTGGGCTTAATTGTTATTGCAAAAAAGTATAAACATTTTTATTTGCGGAAGTAGACGAGTTCGAAATCGATTTTGAAGGAGACATGTCAGAAGAAAGTGCAAGTGAACTCGACAATCAGATTTCAGAGTCGTTGGAAAATGATATTTTGCAGTTGCAGGACGAGGAAATCGACGACGAAATAGATTGTTATAATACTGATGAGGCATATGAAAAATCACCAATTAGTAAAAGAATTAGATTAGTTTAAATGCAAATAAAAATTGAAATAAATAGTTTAAAATTTGAAAAATCATGAAAAGTGTGTACTGTTTACTGAAGTGTCTAAAAGATTCTTGTACTTTTTTTATATAAATAAAAAATAAATTTTAGATAAATATTTTAAAAGTAAACGAAAAAATTAAAATTATAATTATTCGCAATTTATTTTTTTTGAAAGATTTTTAGAAATTTATCGTACAACTAAAAATTAATACCAATTTTCAGTTGTTTATTTAAATAATTATTGTTTAAACAATTTTATAATATTTAAACAAACTTACTAGTATTATCTGGTGCAACATGCAAAAATTTTGGTCGTGAATATTAACATAGTAAATAAATAAACATAATAAATTAATCATTTTTTAAAGTAACTGTTTATCGGCATGTCAAAAGTCCAATAATTAATAATAAAAGGTAGTTGAAAATATGATAATTGAATTTTTTAAGTTGCGAGACATCGATTTAAAAAAAAATCATCGAAATTGGTCCATTAGAAGCTGAGATAAGTGAAATTTTTCCGAGCGTCGCAGTTTTGAACTCGAGAATTCAGATCGGAGTAGCTGTGTGTTTGCTCCCCCCACCACTGATACCTCATTGATTTCACGCGGTCTTGAATATCTTTGAGTGACATTTTAAATGGGACGCCCGTGATTGCAAATTTTGAAAATTTATATCTGGAAAGTACTCGGAATGACAAACCTATTAGTTCAAAAAACAGCCCTTATACCCTTATAGTTTTGCTGTAAATAAGGGTTAACTTTAACGGGCTATAACTCCGAAAATAATGGGCGGATCATCAGGTTTTTTTTTAAATACTCGTCTTTCCGAGTACTTTCAAACCATATTTTAAAATAAAAAAAAATTGAAAAAACATTAAATTATTGCAATTGTTTATAAGCGTGAAAATTGCGAAAATGTTTAAACAATCACCACGGCTCACCTAATCGTCCGATTTGAATTTTTCAAAAACCATTTTAAAGCTTGAGAGCTCTTCTTTTTGTGGTGAAATTTTCAAATATTCAAAGGCTTTAGATTTTTAGAAATTTGAATTTGAAAATTTTTTAATTAAAAAAAAATTAAACAATTATGTATTATGTAAAAACTATCGAACCGAATTGGATGAAATTTGGTGTGATGATTCTATGCACTAAGAAGTTTAATTGGGAAAATTATGAAAATCGTAGGTATTATTCAAGTATCTGAAAAAAATTGACAAATAAACTAGCATATTTTGCAATTTTTTAAATGATTTTCCGATTTTTGCAATAACAATAATTATTTTTTCGAATTGCAACTAACTCTATCTTGATCAGAATTTAATTAATTACAAAACTTTTGTTTCCCTCTTCCATTTTTGTCTAAAATGAATAGTTGCTAAGTTGTCGACGAGAAACCCAAGAAAATAATGAATTATTTTGCTATTTTTTTATACTTTTTTGCAATAACAATTAAGCCCATGTTTTTTTTATTTGCATAGAAAAATTATCATTTCTGATGTTATTTAGAAGCCGTTAAAGCAAAAATCTCCGATCATATGCGTTTTACCCAAGTATACCCTTTTTAAAACAGATACTGCCTGTACTATAATATTAATGGGTTACTTTAGTACTAGATATAAAAATGATTCACATCGATATAGACCTGTGACTGGCACAATAACAAAACACCGTCTCTTCGCGCTCACCTCAGTCACCATATTAAATTCGTTCTCATTTGTAAACGAACAACATATTTTATACACTCTACATAATATCCTCTTGTATTTATTTCTTCTTCTGGGAGCATTCGTTCCCAATAAATCCCAATAGCAGGCGTTACAGGCCTACGCTTTTCCCCAGTAATCGTATTAGGCTAAGTTTTGAATGATTGGTATTATATCTTCACCCTTGCTATTTTATGATTATGGTTCTCCGAGCGTATTTACCTTCCAAGAGTTTCCAACCGTAGCGCGAGCGCATAAAGCTAAAAGCACGCAAGCCGTACTTTCTACAGGGTCGATGACTCTTCTTTCATTTAAATTTTTGTGAGGTCGATTTGATCAATTAGATCGAAAGTTATAACAAATTTAGTGTAGCGCGCTCGGGGCCGCGCGCTCTTCGAGAGCTATACTTGGGGGCCGCCTGTCTCATTTTTCGTACGTTAGAAAAAAAAATCTGCAGCCTTCAATTCGCATTTTAGAAAAAAACTTTATTAACATTTTTTATGTAAAATTCCCTGTTCTTTCGAATGGCACAGTTAATTATTTTTTTTTAATTATATTTTTTTATATATTTAGCAAAAACTGTAATTTTGCAAGTAATTTGTTAAATAAATAATTCAGCGTACACTCTACAGTCGGTAACTTTTTATATGTTGTTTTTGACAACTTTACAAAGCGAAAAATAAAAAGTTCTCTCTTCCAGCAATATTCGCGAAGTCAAAATCGATCTTGACTCCAATAAACGTGAAACAACCTAAACTTGAATAAATAGCACCAATAAATAAACAACGCTTTCGTTAGAAATTTCAAATGTTCGATCCCAAAACTGGAAGCAGCGCCCGCTCTATTGCGGATGCCCCGATATCCCTTCCCTCCCGTCCTTTCTCTCCGCGAAGTCGAATATCTCCTGGTGGGCTTTATGTTGTCATTTCGTGCTTTTACCGGGCACTCGTTCTCACGCCACCCTTTTACTTTTTTGTTTAGTTAAAGTGGTCACGAATATTTACGTGATAAAGAAGGGCGATTGAAAGGTAGGCAGCCCATCTGGAGAATATTTAGGATCCTTTTTGTATGCCGGACTCTTTCGCAGTCGATATACGTCGAGTGAGAAGCTCGTCTTCACCTAGGGGGCGTCACAATGAAAAGTTACGACATTTTGGTACCGATAGGTGACTTGAGCGGCATATTTTTGAGCCACTGAACTCTATGTCAATATGTACGTAGTAAAATAATTCCGAAATTGAAATTTTAATTAATATTTCGTTTAACAATAATAATTTGACATTTTTGTAAATTAAAAAAAAAAATAAGTATAAAAGATGCATTTTTTCTGGGGTTCAGGGCTATTCTACGAATTCGTAAATATGTCTATTGTTATTTTTTCGTCGAGCTACCCCACTTTGAAAGAAAAAGAAGTTTCTACGATGAATAGAAGCCGAGATATTGCAAAATTTTACAGCGCGCATCAATTTGAACTTTTCACTTTTCTCGCGCGCGCGACACTCTTGGACGAGCTTCCCCCACCACCACGCCGGACATTTTACTTAGCACCTTCCTTTTAAAGGGCTCGTGAGTCGTTAATTTTCAACATTTTTCAATGCAATTCACGAGAAATCGTAGTTTACGTCGTAGACTTAAATTTGCGAAAAATTCAAGTCTTAATGTTTATAAACAATTGCGCTATGATTTTAAAAAAAATTCTTATCTTGGCTCCTGTTGGTCGTAGAGGGTGCTTTTTTTAAAATTTGTATTTTTTGCCAGCTATCAATTGCATCTATTTTCGGTGAGGTAGCATAAATAGCAACAATTTTATTCAAATTGTTTATAAGCGAAAAACGCACGGTTTTTTAATTAATTTAATTACAATGACGCTTTCAAAATCATGTTTTGTTGAAAATTAACGCCTGTACAGAGGCTTAAAGTTCATAACTTTTGGAGCCTCCGTTATAAACAAATAGAATTGTGCGAAAACTATTGCACCTACAGCGCCCACTTTTGGCACACTATTAAAGTATGACAAAACCCTCAATTTGTCATAGGTTTTATAAAATTTTAACAATAAACGCGATAGTTATAAACAAATTAAAAAATGGGCACTTTTCTTGTTTTTTCGCAATAACTTTTTTGTTTATTAACCGATTTTAATTTAACAAGTCTCAATTTGTAGATAATTTTACTCCCTACAAGCTGTCTCAGTCACTTCTCGCTAAAATTGATGGTTTTCCCTGCAAAGTGAAAAAACTGTTTTTCTCACTTATTTGTTTAAATAGAAAAGTTAGCTAATACAATTTTTTGACTCACAAGATGAGAGATGTGTTGTATTATGTTCCTTTAGACAAATTTACAATAATATAGCGATTAGGATTTTTTTCGAGTTTCTCTTTTGCTTCGCTAATTTTCCTGGTCTAATATGTTTCGTTACTAAACTGCATCAATGTTAGCGAGTTGTGGCGCCAGAATTGATCCTTGAGGTGCTTAGATAAAATTATGTTTTTGCAACCGTAGCAAATTATTCTCTTTTTGGATACAGTCTGACGGGATCATTGTTTTTAATGAATTTTAAAAAATTTTAATACTGATTAACCACAATTGTCGATAGATCAACAATATGGTGGTGTTCCTTCAAACTGTGAATAATTATTCTGTAGAACTACTTATGGTATTATTGGAACATGTAAAAATTTCAGTTTTGACCTAAAAACTCTCTTAGAAACATTTGGTGAGCTGTCGCGAGCGTTCGCGGTGGAGGGGAGGGGCCTTTAGTAAAACGCGCACTATCTAAATATAACGTTTATTGGTTTACTGAATACATATGAGCCAGACAAATATTCAACTAAAAAATCATATATTAGTACAATTATACATACATATACAACTTAGACTTTTAATATAAAATTATTCTATATGTATACATATCTATTTATATACGTAGAAGTCGTTTTGGTTTACACTGAGCGTAACATCTCGAAATACAACCATGTTATGATTCATATGAACAGAAACGAAAATGATCAAGGGAGAAGTTTTTATTTTAAGTATATTTCTTTTTATAATAAAGTTCTCATAGAAATTCTCATTGACATTGTGCTACACCTATATTATTTGTACCTATATATATTTACAAAAACTCTTTCCGTAGCGCATGTCTCTCTATCAGACAGACATACAGATTTAACACATATATTTTTTTAAGGGATTGCTAGAGAGAAAGGCGCCACACGATATAATTCAGTGAACAGCGAGCCAAAAACTTATTTAAAACAATTTTTTCGAAACAAAATATTTTTTTATGAATCGCTCGTTTTGGCTCACCTTGTATATATTATTTCTTAGTAATTAGTAATTTTTATCACACACAATAATGCAAGAATAAAATGTGTTATCTTTTTTTTCAGTTTTATATTATCCTAAAATCGACAATTTGTTATAAATACATTTTAAAAAAATTCGAATTTTGCAAGGACGTTTTGCCTGGAATATCGGAACTACGGCACAGTTTACGGCATCGAAATGCCTCGAGTGCCACAAAAAGCACTTTGAGTCTCAACCTTGCGACATTTGTTGCGAGAGTATTTGCAAAAATAAAATAACAAGCGTTGTGACAAGGACAAACCTTTGAAGCGTAAGGAATTGGATTGTAGCTTTAAATAGTGTTAGATTCTGACTAAAAATTATTGTAACAGTTACGAAAATTTCATCACTTTTACAAAAGGGCGCATACAAAAAACATATTCTGCCTGAGAGATTTGATTGGGGGAATATTCCCGGGTCTAGTCTTAGATAATGTCAAATTATTACAAAAAAATGGCCAAATATTTATTGTAACAACTGTCGAAAGTTGGTAACTCATACAAAGTTAGTAGTTTGAAGCCTGAAAGATTGAATTCGGAAAATATTTCAATGTCTACTTTTCGATTAGTAGTAGTATTAGATTGTCATTAACAATGTTGATACAATTATTGTAACAACTGTCAAAAATGAAAAATAATTTAGGTGATTGTAGGTCATATAAAATGTGGCACAATCTTCACCTTAATCTGCGCCTCCACCTTCGACAAACTTGCGACATTTATTGCGAGAGATATGTCGGGATTTGCATTTATAAAAAACAATTTGCGACAAGAGTAAACGTTTTAAATTTTAAGGGATTAGATTGTAGTTTTAAATTTTTAAATTTTGACAAAAAATTAGAAAAAAATTATTGTAACTGTTGTGAAATTTTACAGCTTTTACAAACGGGCGCATACGAGAAATATTTCATGTAAAATATTCCAAAGTCTAGTCTCAGACAGCGTCGGGTTACTGCTAAAAATGGGAAAAAATTATTGTAACAACTGTCAAAAGTTAACAGATCTCACAATAAGACACATTAAAAATATTTGACACTTACGAGAATGGATTTGGGAAATATTTCGTCTAGAGTTAGATAATGTAAAATTTTCAGTAATACTCTGAAAAAAATTATTGTAACAAATATTACAAGCACCTGTATGAGATACAAAGTCAATAATTTGGCCAATAATATTATTGTTCTCGCAACAATTAATCATCATCTATTTATTTCATTAATATAAATATATGTTTACGACTTTTTCAGGGAACATTTTTTTAAACAAGTATTATTTTTAAATTAATTGACAAAAAAGTGAACTAGCCAGACTTTGATGTGTTCAAGCCTCCGTATAAGTATATTGAGAGTTACTTTGTAGCTAGCAGCGTGCGCGTTAATCTCCAAGGTTACCGGACCAAGGTCTGAACCTTGCGGCACCCCGGGTTTCGATGCTCGTAAACCGTCCCTAGCTCCGCGTCACCTTACGAAAATCTTTGGGCAGTACTAGTGAAATTCAGAAGGATGTTCGGCTGTTTCTAAAAAATCGATTGTCTCTTCTTACAAAATAATTATTATCGTTTAAAAATACTTATAAAATTGATGTGTATTTTAGTACAGACGTCGTTTTGGGTACGGCTCCGCGTCATCCTAGGTCACTTGTCAGTTTGCGCGACACAAGGCAGGAGGTCCTGTCAGTCAGCGGGCGGGTCCTTTCGGGCCCGTTTTACGTGAGGAACACACCGGGATTACCAGTTGAAGTACTCCTTGTTGCAGGACCTCGCCGAGCCGCACCACTTCGTCTCCACCAGCGGGGGGCACAGGCGGCCCCCCCTCCTCGCGTGCTTCAGCACCTCCCTGCGCCTCTGCATCTCGCCTATGCCGCAGGACTTGCTGCACTCGCTCCACTCCGACCACTCCGTCACCCGGCAGTCGCGGGGGGGCCCTGCGAACGGAAAAGAAACTGATAATAATGCGCCGCACCCTCCACCACACAATACATTTGTTTGTCGTGTGGGGAATACAGAAAATTGTCTAGGTACTTGCAGGATATCAAGAAACCAATATGCTGGCGACCTTGGATTTGAGCTTGACCTTAAACGTCAAGGTCAAACCAAGGTCACCTTGAAACTATTAAATGGAACACCCTGTTTCGTACACCGGCATCGATAGAGCGCCAAATTTTACGTTATTTGGAAGTTAAAACAATTTTAGTTAATTTTCTAATGGCCAAACATAACTATGCAGTGTTGCCAAATTGCGGACTCTTTCTCTAATTCTATGGATTTTTTTAAGTCAATCAAGCCGAGTATGTATCCCATTTTATCAAAATAACAGTTACGTTATTTCAGGGTTTCACTTATTGAGGAATTAAGACCATTTTTAGCAAATACTCGTATTGCAATTTTGTTGTTTTTTGAAGACGCTTTTGTGTCGACATTTTTAATAATAATTATGCAAAATTATTATAAACAAGAGTCAGTATTAGACAAAAACACACATAACTGACAGATGTCTTTTAGGTTATGAAACATGAAATAAATGCAAACTCGTAAATAACGGGTAAGTACGACATAAAATAGTTTGTAACACGTTATCTTAAATTATAACAGAGTTTCTTAAATTCAAGGAATTTGGTGTTGCTATAGTTTAACATACGTGTTATTTGTGTAATGAAAATGAACGGCTTGTTAAATTTACATTTACTTGCCGATTTTATAAACGCACATCGAAGGTAAGTTGTAAAATTTAAGTAACTTGGGTAAGTATTTACCCTAAAATTATTGTTAGGTTAAATCAAACGAAGAAGGATGTAACAAGGAACTCTCCGATTTCCAATATTTTTACATATGTTGTAGTCCCGGTTGTAGTACATAAAAAATTAAATGACATATCTTTTTTTATCGGCGAAAAAATATATTTAGGGGGTGAAATACATCCTCAATGTTCGCCCCCCCAAAACGGTTTTTTCTAAATATCTGGGGTTCTAATCAATATTTTGGAATGAAAAGGAAAATGGAAATTGTTTCTTATAAAAAAACAAATGTTTCACATTAGATTCCGTGTTTGGACCCTTATTTTTTATTTCAGAAAAACTATATTTTTCAAACATTTTTTATATAAAAAAAATTCATATTTGGTAAAAAAATAAAAAATTATTTATATAAACAAATTGACAAAATTAAGTTCTCTTTTTAGGGGGTGAACAACCCTCTAGTGTGTTAAAAATGTCTGTACGATTACAATTAACATTGCAAAATAAAAAGTTTTTACTTTTTCTCTAATCATACGAATAATTTGTTCTATTAGCCGCAAACAGATTTAAACGGATGCAAACTACCCCTCATGTTCACCCCCAAAAACAGTATTTCTGTGACATCTCAATATTTTGAAATGAAATAAAATGGAAATTACTTCTTTTAAAACAATAAAATGTTTCACGAGTGATTCCGTGTTTGGGGGTTGCAACCCTTATTTTTTATTTCAGGAAAACTGAGTATATTTTCAAACATTTTTTATATATAAAAAATTCATATTGATTCAAAATATTAAAAGTATGATTTATGTAAACAAATTGACAAAAATAATTTCTCATTTTAGGGGGCGAACAACCCTCTAGTAATCCCCTAGTATGCGAAAAATGTCTTTACTTTTTCTCTAATCATACGAATAATTAGTTTTATTAGCCGCAAACAGATTTAAACGGATGCAAACTACCCAAAAATATTTCATAAATTAAAAAAAAAATTAATACAACCTAAAAAGTGGCAATAAAATATTTTCAGATTTTGTGAAAAAAAATTTATCAAATGAATTCAAAACTGAAGCGCCCTTATGAACCATTACAAGAATTCGTATCCACAGACATCAGAAAATGAAAAAGGACACTTGCTAGCGTCCTTCTTCCTATATTCTTTTATCCTGGCCTATCGATTTCCTTTTTCCGATAGCCCCCTGGGAAAAATTATTGACATCGCCGGTACGAAACTAATTTTTCCCGGGGTCCGGGGGAAGGCGATAAAAACCGTAGGAATAAAATATAATCCTTACGTATTTTCCTGGGACCGTTCTTCTTGGCTTTGCGGTATTTTTTGTGCTTATTGTGGTCTTTGTGGGCCAGATACGAGTCAGCGATGCTGTTCAGGATGGCGTCCTTGTCCCCTCGGGGAACCACTGCGGGGATGGAGGCGGATGTGACCGCCGATGGGTCCTCCCTGGGGTTGCTGCAACGACATAACGGTAGTTAAAGGTTCTGGGGACGATTTCGCCGGATTCGGCTCGAGATAACGAAAGGCAGGCGGGGGAATAACTGGTTTTACACGTGTGTAACAAAAGTCAAGCTGATTTAAAATTGTTTTGTTGAATCAAACCACAATTTTGACTACTACTGATTGTCACGGATAATGCGCCTTACCACAATCAACGAATATAAAAATTACCAAATATAGAAACATCCATTACAGAAGATTCACTTACATGGTGTTTGACATCCTATCTTCAGGCATGTAGAAGGACTTGAGAGTGGTTGAATAAGGCGTGGACAGAGGGTACTGCTTCAGGGGTCTCGGACGAGGCCTGATCTTGTTCTGATGGACCTCCTGTTCCTCGCGTTCTTCTTCGATGGCAGTCTCGATGTCGCTGTTGCCGTTGAGCACGTTGATGCTGTTCTGGGTCAGGTGTTCCATTTTCAGCACCTCGTATCGACGATCGTCCTCGGCGTGGTGGAAGACCTCGCTCAGTTCGTACTCTTTCACCTAGAGAGAGAAGCTTTATAACTTTTTAACGAACAGTTTTCGTAGTATATAGTCCTTAACGATTTATTTCCGTGTGGCGAGTAGGGTTACTGAGAAAAAGTGAATTCGGTTGGCATCAAAAAATGCGTCAATAAATATTCATCTCATACAGGGTGTCTCACGTTGACGGCCCGTTAGAATTATTTCAGAGACTACTTCGTTTTGAATTTTGCAAATTTAGGATACCGGGTTTTCGGACATGACAATGCCCTTCTCAACTAAAATAATGGCGTCCACGTACCACTTCCGGTTATACCGGAAGTCGCCATCAACTTGCTTATTTTAATTGCAACACCCTATATATTATTGCAATTTTGGATTCTACGTGTTATTTTAGGTGGACTTTTATAAAGTTTCCCTATTCCTAAAATTAACCGTTTTTGAGATATTAATTTTTTTTTCAAAAAAATGGAGAGAAATAGTGGCTAGCTTCAAACCATGTGTATTTTATATAAGAAAGATAAAACTACAATATTTATAGGGGGAATAGCTAGACCCATCCATACTCTCCCATCCATACTCTCAAAATGGCTTAATTGCATACAGGGTGCTATAGACTGTTTGGAAATGAAAGAGAGTAATAAAACCCCGAGGTAAGAACCGGCCATGGGCATGGTAATATTTCGTTTCAGGTAATTATCGGGTAACACTAATGCTAACAAAAATGACAGGGATTGGACAATCGACTATCTACAGACTTTTAAAGGAAACAAAAGATGATACTGTAAATCCCCCAAAATCCCCCCAATTTAGTAGAAAAACCATAATATAAAAATATTGAATATAAGCACCAGTACTACATTTATTTGCGATTTGCATACATAATAAGCTTTTATTACTCTCTTTCATTTCTAAACAGACTATAGAAATTTAATGCCAAGTTTAGTTAACTTCAAACCTTCATAGCCAAAATTTAAGAAGGGTAGTAACAGTATAAGTTTATTTTGCTTTAACTTTTCTTTGTCTAGAAGCAAAATGTTATTTTTTTCTGAAATAATTGATATTTCATATACATTATAAACAATATAGCGCCTAGAACTGCCCCTTGAGGTGCGCCTTTCCTAAATCCAAACTGGGAGCTAGATATTGCGTTATATTTATCTAAAAAATCATACAGTCCTTGATTTCAACTTTTCCTCGAACTATTTCCATTTTCCCCCGTTTTCTTTTGCGAATTGCTAAACCTCTTTGAGGTTAATCCTTTTCAATAATAAATTATTTGCCGTTCTCCCGTCGAGTTTGTGAAAGAGTTGACTGTAACAAAATACAATGCCACCGAAATCTCTGCTTTCCCACTAAGCAATAAGGAGAGAGGAAATCCGTGTTTTCCACGCACACAAAACACCAGTCATTATTTACCAATCACCCCCTATTATAAAGACCGCGCGGGGCTGGTTTGCGCCCAGAAAATGCCTTCGGAAAGGGGAAATCCCGTAGGGGAGACTTTCTTTTATTTAATGAACTGAGGTTCGTAAAAGAGGTTTTTAGATAAATTGAACATTATCGCAAAAGAAAATCGACATTTCGCAAATTGCATAATAATTTCTTAAAAAAAAAATAATAATGTAAGGGAGTTACATCCAGTGACTTGCCTTGATGAACTGGAAAGTACCGATGGGAGGCAGGCGTTTCAGGTAGGGGTAGAAGAATGATCCGGCGGGGTGAGCGGGGTAATGCGCCGTGATCCGGTATGCCTCCCCCTGGGGGTCGGTGGGCCAGTTGGGGGCTGTAAAGGTGAAACCGTTGTCTGTACCTGCGTCAATTGGATCCACCTAATGAAAAAAACAACTTAGTAAAAAGTAAAAAACCGTATTGCTCATTATCGGTCAGTTGGCTGTACCCACCTCGATGGTGATGCTGTCTATCCAGTTCCCGTTGACGCAGAGGTCGAAGCTGTCGATGCCGATGAACCAGTCGGGAGAGGGGACGATGCGGGATATCAGCGACACCTAAAATAATTGCCCATTAATTAATTTTCATCAAGCTAATTGGCTTCATTAGGGAGCGAAGATACACGCCGCCCATCAGCTCATAATTGCCCGGCAATCCAAGGTGGCGGATCAAGGGAATTGGCCCCATTAAGGCTAATGAGGGACAACCAATAACAAAGATATGGAGGGCGATACGAAAGACAGTTTCCCGGGTAAAAAATTGAAATTTTCCTAAAGGGAATTACTCGTATGTTCTTATTTTTCACATTTCATTATTAGTTCAGTCGAATTAGATCATAAAACCTGAAATCTTGAAAAAATTGTTCATGCAGAATGATAATATCAAAAAAGTAACTCAGAAGACAAAATGTTGCCAAATAAGTGGCAAATTTACGGGATTTTTGAACCGATTTGAAACGTTCAAGTAAAAAATCTCGCGTGCGACGAGGGCAACGTTCACGCGCATGCGCGGGCCTGGCGCTCCTTCTCCCGAGTGCAGACCGTTCATTAACGTTAACTTTTACTGCTCATAACGCGTTTATTACATGAACTATCAATGTAAAACTTTCTGAGAATAAAAGTTTAACCCTTTCTTTAATCGTCTCTAATATCCCGGTCCGATACATCCAATAGTTAATTAACAATTAACTTTATAAAAAAAGAGGCGTGGGTGCTTTCCCTTTTTTCAAATTACCGTATAAATAAGCTCCATTTATTATTGAATGCAAAAAGAGCGAATTCCCAAGCGGCTTTTTGTTTATAACGCTATTTTGCACGTCCTACCTTGTTGGTTGTAATGGGCTACTTAATTTCAACTTTGCAATACTTCTATTAATAATTTTTTCACATTCAAACTCTAATTTGACTGGAGTATATGTGAAAGTACAGTTCTGGTAATAAAACAGTATAAAACATGCTTTAAACAAAAGTTTACAATACAGTGTCGTCTAGATATAGTTTAAAATACGTACAAATCTAGCATTTCTTTATAAAGTTAGGTTAGATTAGGTTGTTTTTTTTTATAATGTCATTAATTTCCTACGTTGATTAAAAAATAATTTATTGAGTAAATAAGTATAACAGTTAAATTAATTCAACATTTTTTTCCCTTTCACTAAGTATGTCATTCTGCAGCGCCTAAAAATAAATTTGCAGAACTTAGTAACCTTATTTTAGAGGAGACGGATAAACGAGAGACAAGGTAAAATTCAATATTGTATCAAGAAACCCAGAAATTTCTAAAGATATTAGCAAAATTTGTGTAACAAAAAGAGAAAAAAATCTTTTTATTTTTTAGTATTCTACATGTATAAATATAGGTACGGTGCGTTATTCTGAAACAACCTGTATCAGCAAAATCTTAGACCGAAAAATCGAGAGTTATTAATGATGTTATCAATTAAGCTAATTGAATTTATTAAAGGCAGATGACAAGTGACGCGTTCAATTAAAGTAATTGCCCAACGATTCAAGGTATTAGTTCATTAGAGACTAATGGTTGGTCGTTAGAAATAAATTACTGTGTTTTGGGGCAGTTAGGTTATCGAAAAAAGTTCGATTTTTGTATTGATCTTAACGTCAGCTGAAAGCATACGGTATCAGAGTTAAATAAAATCATATTCAAGTTGTCCCAATATATTTTTACTGATAAATATAAAAAAACACAGTTTTGTATGTATTTGCAACTGAATCATATAAAATAACGTTATATCTTCGGCAATGCTGATGTTCTAGTTAAGCTTTGTATATAAAAATAATTTCAAATATATCCTACGACTAATAAACTTGGAAAAATCCACTTTTTTAGGTACATGTAAACCACATTCACTACAATTGAAATATGTTGCGCATTTTTACAGTAAATTGCGTACAACGGAAAACAGTCAAGCCAATTTTCATCCGATGCCCAAACGAACAAAAAAAATTCATCCCAGGTGTGTTACGCGATATTTACTTTTTGTAACTGAACAAAACCGGAAGCTCGTTCAATTGTTTCACGAGATAATTAAATGTAACAGCCGAAACCGATGGTACGAATTTTTAAAATGCGATTTTTAATGAAGGAATTTAATTCGTTGTCACAAAATAGGTCTGTGTTTGATGTTTTGCGTAATTACGGTGAAAAGTTATCACATTTAAAATAAAAACGCTCATGTAGCGCCACCTTAAGATTCTCTGACATCCACGGGCTTCGCGATAGCGCCGAAGGGCGTTGTTTTCGATCCTCCAGATCAAGCGACCACTACGGGTCATCTCCGCTGCCTCCAAGGGGGGCAACGATCCGCTAATGGCCTCGCGACCGGCCATCTACGATCCGACACGCGCCCGCGACGACGCTAGCTACTTAAGAGTGTTTTATGGCGACGCGGTCGACCGGTAAGGAGCGCGTTAGAGGAACGCGATGGAATTACGGCTAACGATGGCAGATTAAGGACAGGGGCTTCCTGAAAGGAAGTCTATTTACTGGACGCGGCCCCGTTGATAAGACAGTCGCACTAAATCGACTCGAAGGCAGGCCGGGTACGTCGAGGAGTTGAGCGACACCGAAGGAGATTTATTCCGACTGGTCTGTTCGGAGGTTTTCGTTGCCGCGCGCTTTTGAAACATCCCGCTGTCGTGGAGGATAGTGGGGGATTTGTACGAAACATTTCTGTCTGTTATTCCACACAAACTGGAATTTTTATATAAAAACTTTACAACGAATCGGTTTTCCCGGTGTACGTTTACTTTCCTGTCGCGTCCTTGTATGGGGTCCGATGTCAAAGAAATCAATCGAATGAAAACGAAATATTATAAAACGAGAAATGTGTCGGTGCTCCGCCTTGAAGGGAAATCGTCGGGTATTAGGAAAATAAATATCAAAGAACATGGGGGATATATTAGGAATTGCCTTTGACGTGAGATACCGGAGTATCGGAGAATTATCTTCTTATATATGTGTACAAGTTGCAGATATCGTTTGGGCACGTATGGAAGGACGTAGGGGTGTCGAAATTTTATTGTTGCGGTGTCCCGAAATGGCGGAATGTCGCCGTAATCTCAAACATAGGATTTTTAAACCCCATTGAAGTTATTAAACAGAATGATCAACTTTACTAGTAGGCTCAGTGCACGGCAGAGTCTAACAGAGCCGGCGTGGGGATCGGTGGCCTTCACAGCTGACTCGCGTTTTGGTTCAGTTATTTACGGAACTTTGCGGTAGTAGATACCTTTCTTTTTTACGTCTTCTGTAAATTGTATTATTTCAAATGTGATTTGACAGTGATCTCGAAAGTTACAGGGACATGAAGGAAATGATCTGTTTTGTACTGTGTGAACACAGTACAAACTCTTGTTACAAAACTAAAGTGACAAGACATTTGAAGAGCCATACTTAAAAAATGAAGATAGATTTGACTAAACCAGAGTGCATCAGTCTTGACTGATTTTGATGAGGAAACTGTATGTTTATTTACGTTTCTGCGAGGACAAATTGTTGGTGTTGACTGGACAATGGTGTTATAATTACTAAAACTAACAAGTACCGTTCTTTCAGTGTAGCGAAAAATGAGGCTTCCGCCCAATCGATTCTCTGGAAATTAAAGACCGCGCGTTATTTATGTCGGGATCGAATTAAATAAAGTTTACGCCAAAGAAATGTTGAATTGCAGTCGAACATGCAACGGGACGAAAACAGAGTAATTTTCCTGGAACTGTATTTTCCGTTTGCGATCACGCACTTGTGAAATTATAGATAAAGCTTGTGTCGGCGTCGACGGTGGTCGATGTCGGCTATCTCGCACTTTAGTAATATGCTCATGAAGTATGGTCAAGAAACGTGCATTGGTAATTAATTAAATTCGAATATTGAATCGACTGTAGATAGCCAAATATTTGTAAACAATTTATTTATTTTTTTCTCAAGAGAAAAACTGTCGTTTAAAAAAATGAAAACCTTTTGGTATATGTATATTCTTATAATTTCCACTCCGTGTATTTACGTTTTTGACGCACTGTTTATTCCAGATCTAAGTGTGAATGAAACTTATAAAATACACAAGAATATTTGCACCTTTTCTTGAAATACGAGGAAAATTTATTAACTGTTGTGTCTGCACAATACTTCATGACATTCACTTGTGTATTGGGCCCACAATAACACCTACACTCACTTTAAGGTGCCGTGATAAGTTGAATTAGAAGATTTATTATGTATGACCTAATAAATATTTAATATTCGTACATCGAATTTCATCCACTTTCCAGAATTGGATAACCTTTTCATATTTTCCCATCGATTGGACCGACATATCTCTAAGGGGTGTTCCTTGATCAAAACTAACACAAATAAACATGAAGAAGTGGGTTAATATTAAATAATAGCGGTCCCAGTACTGAACCTTGAGGTACCCCCACCCCCCCTCCCAGATAAAATCTCTAGTTTTTTTTTTCAACTAAAATTTGCAAGCTACCAGAAAGACATGAATTTTATAAGAATTTAATATACAGTTTGTTCACGTCAAGTGGACACACTTCTATTTTTTTCGTGTTCAAAACGTTTTTTTCTGACAAAATACTGACGATATTCCTACTCACCCTAGAATGGTTGCCGTCGACGAAAAATTCGGCCTCCGTCCTTCCCACCCCCGATATGATGGGGGGTGCGTTGAACTCGTCGTAGATGCCCCCTTCCCCTTGGCTTTGCTCCTCCAGGAGGTCGGACCTTCCGGTCTCCGCGAAGGATTTCACTCCTGCCGAGGACTTCTGGCCCAGACGGAACAGGGTGAAGGATTTGTCGTGGCTACGACCTGAAAAAAAAAAGATAAAAAAAATGAATTCGAGCTCACTTTAATTTTGCGTTAAAGTACAGGGTGAGTCAGTTTTTTGTGGTAGGATTTTAACAGTTGATAAGAGATTCATTTCTTAATAAGAAAAGTTCCTATAAACGTAGGTCTTAGAATGCTTCGTTTGTGAGATATAGGGTGTTGAAAACAAACTTTTTTTAAGAATTTTTCTTAATATCTCTAAAAGACCAACAGATATTAAACTGAAATTTGGCATGAAAAAACAAACACAGAACTTAAAAAAAGAACTAATTTACACAATGTTTGCATTTTTATGTCAACGTTATCACATTTAATCGTTTTTGTCGATTTTCAGGGTACATCATTATTTTTCTTATTACAAATAATGTATTACCAATATCGTTGGAACAGTTTCATGCCTAATGAATTTAACAAAAAACAGTTCATTTCATAAAAAATTGAAAGAGAGCTGTTTTGTTCAGAATTGATTAAAAAATTTAGAAATGATGATATTTTCCAGAAAAATCCACGGGCATACGAATTGTTTTTTTAAAGGAGGCAGTAACCCACCTCAGGCACGTCACTGGTGTGTGAAATGGATAACAGATATCTTTGTTTTATTCACCATAACTAATGTGTTAAGAATACCAAATTTCAGTTCAATATATATTGGTCTTTTAAAGATATTAAGAAAAATTCTTAAAAAAAGTATGTTTCCAACACCCTATATCTCACAAACGAAGCGTTCTAAGAGCTACGTTTATATTCTTATTAAAAAATTATTCTCTATCAATTGTTAAAATCCTACTACAAAAAACTGACTCACCCTGTATATTAGATCAGAGCGGATCTGTTTTGAGGTGGATGTGAGAGGGGGCAAGCAAATTTTTTCTAGATTACCTTCAGTACAATTCACATAATAAAGGTGTAGGTCCCTAGATCTGGACGAGGTTCGGAACATTTTCAAAATTGCTAAAAAATTTTAAAAAAGTACCTATTTTGTCTGAGTTTTTACTTATATCTTGGAACATATGCATTTTGGAAGAATATTGAAGAGGAAAAACGTTTTAGAATTGAATTTTGCACAATATACTGTAAGTTAAAAATGTTTAAATTTATTACCGATGTTGCAAAATAGCAATAACTGATGAAAAGGCAAAAGGCAAAATAATCAAGTTTTTTTGGAAAATTTTTTAAAAATATATTAATTGCTCCGAGGGCAATTAATTTTGTTAAAAAAAAATTTAGAGTATAATAAAACAACACACCAAATTTCATTAAAATCGGTTAGATAGTTTTCGCAAAATAATTTTATGAAAAAATGTTGAAAAAAAAATTTTCGAATTTTCAAAATGTTGCACAGCCTCAAATAAAGCATCTAGATACTTGAAAATTTTTTCACATAGAAAAGACCGCTCAACCTTTCAAATGGTTTTTGAAAAATTGAAATCGGTTGATTAGGACGGCCAAAGTAAATTTTTAAAGTTAACACTCTTTTTTTATTTTTCAACAATTAGATTACATTTATTAATTTGCAATTTAGTTTTTTTTCAAAAAATTATAATTTTAAAGTACTATTTTTTCTTAATATTATCTGTATTTAACAAAAAATTAATTTCCAAATAAAAAAAAATATTTGTTTAAACAAAAATTGTTGAAATAATTGTATGTAATATGTAATAACTAAACACATTCATATTTAGAGTGTTGAAATATATACGTAAACAAATTTTTTCATTGAAAAAATGCAATAGCATAGGGTAAAATATACAGTATATTTAATGCATAAATAATAAACTTTGTTTATAACAAAATATGTGCAAATTTGACAGTTGGCATTACGATATTCGAATTCCTTGGCTCGCGAGACATCAGATTAAAAAAAAGATCGAAATTGGTCCACTACAAGCCGAAATAATATAATTTTTTTCGTACCTTCGCATTTTGAACCTCCGAATTCAGTCTCGGAGCGAAAGCCCCCTCCCCCACTTTTCGTATTTTGAGTCACTTTTCGCGCGTGCGAGCGACAGCTTTTCCGCTGATTTATCTATGTTGCCGATAACTTATGGATATGAAAATTTTTTCCAGCTTAGAACTCGGAAAAACGAAGCCACTTGATCAAAGAATATTGCTAAATTGTTTATAAATTAACGATAAATGCCGATAAACTTACCGCTTATATCTCGAGAACCAATATTCTTCCAAAATGCATAGGTTCCAAGATATAAGTAAAAAACTCAGATAAAAAAAGGTATTTTTAAAATGTTTTAAACATTTTTGCAATTTTTAAAATGTCCCGGACCTCGCCCAGATCTAGAGATCTACACTTTTATTATGCGAGTTGTAATGAAGGTATTTCAGCAAAAATTAGCTTGCCCCCTCTTATATCCAAGAAGTGGGTTATTTCGAGAGATCCACCCTTGTCTATATTTCTTTGCAATCGAATTAACTGCCAATCACGGCGCAGTAATTATTAAAAATTATGTCTAATGTGGCAGGGCTTCTTGAATCTATATCCTCTAAACTGTGGCATTATTTTTAGTTGTAATTTTAATTTTTTNGATATACAGAGTAACCTGTAAGTTTATTTTCATCAGTCCCTGCAGTGAACGATAGGCAAACACAGATTATTAATAACTTCCTTTTCACAGGTAACTTGTGTGCTCTGACTTGACAGACAAATTCAACCCTCAGATTAAGAGTTGCTGCCTTTCCAGCTATGATATTTGTTGACTTCTTACTAGTAGAGTTTTAGAGGCTGGAATAGCGTAGCAAGTTTTGGCGCCCAACGTGGGGCTCGAACCCACGACCCTGAGATTAAGAGTTGCTGCCTTTCCAGCTATGACTTCTGACTAGTACAGTTTTAGAGGCTGGAATAGCGTAGCAAAGTAAAAAACTCAGATAAAATAGGTGTTTTTTAAATTTTTTAAACATTTTTGCAATTTTTAAAATGTTCCGGATCTCGCCCAGATCTAGAGAGCTACACTTTTATTATGCGAGTTGTACTGAAGGTATTCCAGCAAAAATTAGCTTGCCCCCTCTTATATCCAAGAAGTGGATTATTTCGAGAGATCCACCCTTGTCTATATTTCTTTGCAATCGAATTAACTGCCAATCACGGCGCAGTAATTATTAAAAGTTATGTCTAATGTGGCAGGGCTTCTTGAATCTATATCCTCTAAACTGTGGCATTATTTTTAGTTGTAATTTTAATTTTTTTATTGTAATTTTTAATTTTTTATTGAAATTTTTATTATATATTTTGTAATTATGTTCTATATCTTGTCATTGGTCTATATTTTGTAGTTTGTCCTTATACATTTATTATCTGTTTTTTATTTGTGTTACATACTTTTGACAATTTTCGATACTTTGTGTGAGCAAAGTCTTATGAAATAAATATATTATTATTATTATTATTATTATTATAAAATTAAAATATTGTCATCTTCTCGAAGAATTACCTATTATTCTTGAAGAAGTTCCCATTCAAACTA